CACGACCCTCCTCCTCCTGTTGGTGCGAGCGAGCGGTCAGTCACGTGTGTGCAGGATGGACGAACTTAAAGAGCTGTCCCTGGAACTTACGCGATCGGCAACCGGCCGGTTTTTGTCTTATTGCAAGCAACTCGTCTCTGTTCTGGACTTGCACAAATTGCGTTGCAATACAATCGTTGCAATGCAGTCTTCAGAAAAGTTTACGTGGTATTTTATTTTCATCTCGTCTCTGTATAGTTCATATTAAAGCAGTGTTTCAGCACAGTGCTTCTTTGTTTACAGCGGTAACTAAGGAAATGCTGTATCTGCCGTTCCAGAAGCGCCTCCTGCTGTCAGAGAGTGAATCTGCATCTCATTCAGAACTTCTGCTTCGTTCAGGCATGTAGTATAATTTCACAAAGCTAGTCAGAACATTCGGTTTTTGCTTCAAATTGGGTTATTAAATCAAATTATGTTATATGAAATTATATAACTAAATGATATGTATATGAATTATATAACAAATGAAATAACTGTAATTACAGATTTAGGTTAAATAAAGATGTCCGTCTTTATTTTTCTTTTTAGGAAACAAATCAAAGAAAAAAATAAACAAATACTACTGTTACTAATATTCTGTCGCTCAAAAACAAAATATATTGTGCAGAGGAAAAATGTTTTTGGGGGTTTTTTTACCCAGTGATTTAAAAATAACACATTTTAGAGCTGTAACGACAATACCGTGATACTGTGATATTTTTGCTTAAGGTTATCATACCGTCAAAATAGCATACCAGCCCATGCCTAGCTGTGACATCCAGCTAAAACCAGCTTCAGGTGGTAGCTGGTTCGATACGTTTTCTAGATGGTCCAAACTAGCCATTTTATGATCAATCTGATGGACTGTAGATGGATGGGTCAACCTTGGTCAAAATCAGACCTGGAAGACCACCATAGCTGGTGAGGTTCAGAATCTAAGCAACTACCAGCAACATGTTTAAAAAAGCTGTTTTTTCCACCAAGGAGAGCTAATCCATACAATTACAATGAACAAACCTGAGACAGAATCCCTGAGCATTTCTTCAAAATTGACTTTTTCAGTTGAATAGTAGGTTTTATTTCGCAGCTCCATAAGTTCCCTTTAGACATTACAAATTGGTTCTCTGTGTGAGAGTCAAACTTGTATTCCGTTTCCATTTCAGGCATTTCCCGAACAACTTTGACCTTCTGTTCAATGGCAGTTATCGCTTTTTTGCGTGCTATGGACTCACTGAGATCTTCTATTTGCTTCTTTTTTCTCACAAATTCTGGATCCTGAATCGGAGTTAAAGATGCAGTGGTCAAAGTCCTCTCAGCAGTACTTTCAAACGTTGAGCAGCCAGGTGTATTTGAGCCAAAAGCACAAGTCTGTTGGGGGTATCCTATTTGCATCTTTTGACTCTGACTCTTTACAAAAAAAGCAGCAGTTTCCTTGCTTGTAGATGCCTTAGAGAAGATAAAAGAGACCGTGAGATATGCAGAAGAAAATTAAATATAAATCAAAACCTAGGAGTCCAAGTAGAAGCAAACCTGAGATTGAGAATCAGTGTGAGGTTCAGACTGCTTCTTCAAGATGGACTTCACTGGTTTTAGGTCAGGCATCCAAATGTTCTCATGATGCACATGTTGATAATCAAATGTTGTAACTCCACTTTTTCCATCCTCAGGTTCAATTTGTTTTGCATTTTGCTCCATAGCGACAATAGCTTTCTTACGTGCAATCAACTCATTGAGTTCCATTAGCTCTCTCCTTTTTCTCAATAGTTCTTCTACATTGTCAGGGCTTTTAACTCTCTTTGTGTCGGCAGGGCTGCAGCTTCTCTTCCTGGCACTTTGGCTGCTCCTTTCTTTGCTTCTGCTGCGACTCCGGCGGTATCCCTCTCCACGCTCTTTGCTCCGACAGCGTTTGTATCTGTATTGACCGTCCCTCCTCTCAGGACTGGAACTTCTGTAGCAACTCATGCTTCTGTCTTGGCTCCGGCTTCTGCTTCGACTATACCTACGTTGACTATTTTCCCTGCTTATGCTCCGTACTCGGTCTTTTCCCTTGTTTGGCTTGCTAAAGATCAAGAAATTGTCAAAAAATGTCATAATTTATTATGTTATAACATGTCAGGAAAACATAATACTTCATTAAAAAAAAAAAATCTATACTGAAAGAAAACAAATATACATCATTTATGGATAATTAGTACAATACATTTTAATTACAACATAAAAACACAACTATTCATATCAAGTGTGACAAGCCTTTTAATCGAATGTTTGTACACAACATTCTTCATGGCGAAGATTCAATAAGATGTATTATTGAAGTAACACTATATATATATATATGAAAAACACATTATAATTATGATCATTATATATTGATGTTTACATGATGTTTCTATATTATCACATTGCAGAAGCTTGACAATATCAGATATATTTTAGAAATGCTTTTTAAACTAATAATTTAACTATTCTTTTATGTTAGCCATACTATATTTTGTATTTGCGAAACTAAATTACTTGGATGCTGTATGCAATTATTTGACTGTGCTAAAGCATAAAAATTTCATAATTTGTTTGCAGATATTTAGAAAACATGCTAAGTTCACATACTTGTTTATCTGAAAAACAACACAACAGCCAGTTATTCAACTTAGAACTGTGGTTCCGTGTCAGAATGTCTGTTTTTGTTTTGATCCGTGTGATTCCGCTTACTGCCAATTTACCCAGTTGTATTGACACCCTGGGTTGCCATTTGGCGGAAAACACAGTCTATTGCAGCCATGGAAGCTAGCAAATGAACTAGGTGAGAGATTGCAGATTCTACCTGACCTAAAAAGCCTCAGAATCCAACTAAAAAGCTCTAGGACCAGAGGAATATTAAAACGCAAATAAATCAACCCATCATCTTTCAGTGTAAGGCTTGTTCCTTGTTGCACCTGGCAACCCACGTGAGCATTGAGTTTTGAATTTAGACTGCAATACCCATTTCAAACGCTAACTATCAATATTACATACCGCACCTTTAACTTCCATTTTCACTTTTGCTTCAAGTACTCTCAAAGGCGGATAAAAATAACTGCTGCAGTTTTAGAGCATATTTTTGCATTGTGACAAAACATCTCACTTCTAACCGTCTATGACAAAAACTGTGTTTTACTCTCAGACTTACGGTCAATGTAATGATGCTCCAATGAAGTTTTGAAGAACATCTGCACATTTAACTAATGGACTGACCTACTTACTCATGATTTACTTACTCTACATCCATTGATTCACTGCCTTTGTCTTCTGTTTCGACCTCCTCCTTGAATTGGTCTTTCGGATGCTTCAGCAATTTGATAGTCATTTTCTTCTGCAGGCAGCCAAGCAAATATGGCAGAATCCACATTTAGGGATCAACCAACCCATGGAAAATGACTAATTTGATAAACAATTTATTATATAAACTAGGGGTTGCACTGACTTGATTAGTTCTAGGTATTACTAGTCATTATTCTGCCATGCAGGCACTGGATCTTAGCCAACTAGTAGTAGATCATGATTTCAATTAGACTTATTCCATACAAAGAATAAGCTGTGTCCCAGTGTTGTTGCATTTCACTTATTACCTTCCCCCAGATAAATATATTCATAATTAAGGAAAAGGTTAAAAAAAAAAAAAAAAAAGAATCCTAAGTGTTAATAAAATCACTTTACAGACAACCCTAAAGAAACTAAGCAAGTGGCACATGTTTGACGACTGATTCTGCGGTGTGTTGTGATTCAATAGGTCACTATTCAAGACGCCATCTTGACGTCTACCCACCGACTAATTTTTGGACAACTAGTAAAAACAAGTATCTGTGCAAGCCCTAGTATATAAATCTTACAACAAAATAAAAGTCATGTACTGCACCTTCTCTTTTACTCCAAAGGCCTCTAATTTTGTTGCAGATGTGAAGACGCTTTCATTCAGCCTTCTTATTCTAACAGCTTGTTTTCCCCCTTCAGCTGCTTGACTCTTCAAATAGTATAACACTTACATCAACAAAGAGCTGGATTGACATACCAGCAACCAAAATGTATCCTCTACTTTTCCAGCAAAAGCCAGAAACTACAATAGCAAAATACAGAGCAGGAGAAGTCTAGCAGTTACAAAATGTTCATGGACAAAATGATACAGTAACTTACCAGTACTAAGGTAAATTCAACCTTCTCAGACAACGTGAGTTTGGTGTCCTCCATAACCTCACTTAAGTAAAAAAATAGCTGCGGGTCCTGTTGTGTCTTGATGAACCCAAAATGATCATCCAGCTTGTCAACAAGCCCCTAATAGACGGAAGCACGTCATGAGCAAATATAAAATTGTGTTTGAAGTTATTAATTACCTTAAAGAACATATTTCTGCCCAATGTTGTTCCTGGGGATCTACCTCTCTGCAAAGCTCTGCTCCAAACCTTATCAAACTGAACCAACTAATTAAGATCTTCAGGAGAACTTGATAATTACAGACAGGTGTGTTTGATCAGGGTTGGAGCTGAACTCTACAGGCAGGCAGATCTCCAGGAACAGGATTGGGCATCTGTCTTAAAGATTAGCTGTGGCAAAACACAGCACCTCACTGGGTTCTGATTCTTCTACAAATGCTAAAATGCAAGGATGCACCAAAACTTTGACCACAGAAAATGCAATTAACCTGTCATTTTTGGAAAAAGAGAATAGGCCAAAATCTTTGCCAAAAAATATGAAAAATTATGAAAATCTAATATCAGAAACTCTGGAGAAAAATGCACAAGAAATGTTACTTTGGACATAGTGTAAATGGTGGCTGATGATGGCATATTAAGACATCCTGACGTCTACCCGCTCTGATGTGTGAAATTTAAAATGGACAACAAGTGTGCTTCAATCACACTGAAGTCTATGGGAAAAATCAATCAAACATGACTGTAAATTCAGCTGATATTTCCAAGTTCCTGGCCCACAGAATAGTATGAAGGGATACACTTGATGTCCTTCACAGAGTATACACAAACATGTGCATACTCTGCACTGGTGCATTTCAAATCAACACCTATCAGTGTGTATCAAAATGACTCAGAACTACTAGTACTGTAGAAAGCTGGTATTGTTCAATTTTTAAAGGTTCAGTACTAACTTGGTACCAAAGTACTGGACATTTTAACCACACTAGTCTCATGCATGAGATGTTAAAGCAGGCACAGGTCACTCTGTGATCATTAAAATCCCTGGGTGTTTCTTAAAGTGGATAGGGGTGTAACCCTGGCCAAATCTGCATGGACCTCCATCATCAAAGACGTCCTAATCGTCCTCATTAGCTACATCACTCTATGGGGCTGTTTACACCTGGTCACTTCATGCATTTTGTCTGATCGGATAGCTATCAGATCGTGAAAAGACCAGGTGTAAATGCCCTCCGAAACGCATTCGAGACGGATATAAATCCAATCGCTCAAACCACTTCAGGAGGTGGTCTGGGCCGCATTCCAGACGAAACTGGACATGTGTAAATGCATCTGGTTGCTGAAACCACATATGTAAATATTGCTCCTCCCAAAATGTTTAAATAAACGTGTGAGAGCGTGTTATAGGCTATATGACATTATAGTCAGATATGACTGCGCTATTGCAACACGCATCGCCGCGGACGAGTAGCTGAGTATCTCTTCAGCAAGCTGATGCCGCGCGCTCTCCTATTTCAGTCTTTGATTTTGAAATGAGCTGATAATTAATCAAATGCAGCGCTTATCTTTTGATTTACATTGACGTGAACTCCGTTAAACTATATATAATTAATAAATATAGCACAGGAATTGAACATCGGATTTAAATCCGTTTTGCGACGACACATTTATGTGGCCAAGTGTAAATGGAAACGTTTTAGATTATCTAACAAATTAGATAGATATCCAATCAGCGAAAACGCATGAAATGACCAGGTGTAAACAGGCCCTAAATGTTCTAGCGCACTATGGCTGCCATCGTATCATCCAGGTGGATGCAGTGCAATCAATCATATTATCATGATCTTCATTTCAGTGCATCCCCTACAATCATGTTTATTTGATATCAATGTCGCTTCTCTCCATATAACTAATGTCCTATTATGCAATCTACTTGAGGAAGAACATCAATGCTGAAGAGCTACTGCACAATGGTCTGTGAGGTCATGACATGCATTTCCTACGGAACCACACTGACCAACAGTGCAACTATGCAAACCTTGGGCTATTTCATCTTCGTAAGCTGTATCATGCCAATTTAAGATATGGTGCAGCTGGTAATCAACTACTACTTCAAAACAACTACCTAAATGCACACTTGTGCCTTTACAGCTTGTGCCTCACCTACTCTGCCAAAAGAAAACATCTGTTAATCTGGTCTTGATTATCATGTCTATCATGGTCACGATCACGTGACACTGCAGGATATCATGCAAGTTTATTAAAGTTTTGATATATGGTTTTCTGAGCTCACACATCCTAAGCGCATGCACAGAAAGCTGGCTGGCAGACAGCGCGTCACATGAGTAATAAACTGTGTTTTCTTTCACATGTTATTGTGCATAAACTGTCAAAACCACACAAAGTTCACATAAACACAGTCAGATATATCTTTGAACGTAAATAGCTGGGAAAGAAATCGCATGTGTAGCCTATACAAGATCTGTGTGACAGTAATATACGTACTGCTATGATTTTTGGGGATTAAAAAAAAAAGCAGTGGGTGGATTTTTATCATTATAGGGTGGTTGTGTAAGCACACTGCCAACACACATTTATGTTCAAACACCATGGAAAAGTGAATTTTGCACAATAGGTCCCCTTTAAGTCAGAAAATAATAAGTTAAAATTAACATAGTTTCAGCCCCGGCTTCCAATTCGTAAGCAATATCAAAACGCATACTCATATTCTTAGGTAAATTACACATTGTTGCTTTGATTATGGCTATTAACATCATACACAATGATATTCAAACTAAAACTGAATCATCCTTAGTCAGGGTAGTGCCACATTTACTTTTTGACAGGAATGAAAACAAGGCTGTGATGGATAGAAATACAGTGCATTCAATAGACTAATTGTTTTTTTACAACAAACCAACTGTTCAGCTGACGAAATGTCTTTCCCAAAAAAAAAAAAAAAACCACTTTTACCTTTATACAGTTCACGCCATTGTAAAGACACTAACACCATGTCTACAACGGATGCGACAGTTATCGCCTCGCGTTGTGCCGTAACAGCTAGGGGCTGTCTACACTGGACACGACAAGCGACCATTGCAAATCATTTGAACTTTGTGTCAGCACGTCATAACAGTGTTAATTTCATCAACAAAGACCACGACGAAAAATATTCGTTAACAAACATTTTCTTCTGTGACTAAGACGAGACGTTGACGAGCTAAAACCAATATCTGATGATAAAAACTATGACAAAATTTATGCCTCGTCTTCGTTAACGAGACGGGATTATAATGTTATTTGAGGACTACTTGACATTAAAAATACATCCTATAGGCTACTGTCTAGTCCTTCAAAATGTGCGTCACTGTCATTGGATTGCAATCGGATAAGGGGCGTTTGCATATCTAGTCTCAGTATGGCAGCCGCAGTGGATGGATAGGCTACCAAAACGTGAACCAGCGATCTGAAAAAATGGCCTCAGCACCCGAAGGGGTAGGGATCAGGTGACCAGACGTCCTGATTTTACCAGGAGTCACAATTCGTTGTCGATTAATGGAATCGCGCTGATAGAAGCACTCACTCTCGCGCACGCTTCACTTCTTCAATTCTCATATACAGCACCCGATCAGTTCTCAGTGCTCAAATACACACACAGCAGTCCAAATGT